TGGGATTCATCCCAGGAATGCAAGGATGGTACAATATTCACACATCAATAAAAGTAATATATGACATAAAGAAAAGGAAAGACAATAATCACATTATCATATCAATAGATGCAGACAAGCATTGGATAAAGTACAGCACTCATTTATGATAAAAACAACACTCAGCAAAGTGGGGGTAGAGAGAACATATGACAACATAATAAAGGTTGTATATGAGAAGCCTACAAGAAACATCATACTCACTGGGAAAACCTAAAAGCTCTCCAACTAAGATCAGGAACAAGACAAGGGTGTCCACTTTCACCATTTCTATTCAACATAGTATTGGAAGTCCTAGCCACAGCGATCAGAAAATAAAAAGGAATAAATTCTATCCAAATTGGAAAGGAGAAAGTAAATGTGTCATTGTTTGCAGATGACATATGGTATACATAGAAAACCCTATAGACTCCACTAAAAAACTACTCAACCTAATAAGTGAATTTGTCAAAACAGCGGGATATAAAGTCAATATTCAGAAATTGAAGGCATTTTTGTACACTGACAATATCAGTGTACAAAAATATCAGTGTACAAATATCAGAAATAGAAATTAGAAAGAAGGCCTCATTTGCTATAGCAACAAGAAAATTAAAGTACCTAGGAATAAACCTAACCAAGTACAAAAGACCTGTACTCAGAAAACTACACAACACTGAAGAAATTAAGGAAGACACTAATAAGTGGAAGTATATATCATATTCATGGATTGGAAGAATTAACATCATCAAAATGTCCATACTACCCAAAGCAATTTATAGATTGAACTCAATCCCGATTAAAATACCAATGATGTATTTCACAGATATACAAGAAACATTAAAAAAATTATATGGAACCATAAAGGACCCCGATTAGCTACATCAGTCTTGAGAAAGAAGAACAAAGTAGGAGGGATCACAATACCTGGTATAAAACTGTATTACAAGGCCACTGTAATCAAAACAGTGTGGTACTGGAGTAAGAATAGACATATAGATCAATGGAACAGAATAGGGAGCCCAGAAATAAACCCATGTTTCTATGGTCAATTAATATTCTACAAAGGTGGCAGAAGCATAAAATGGAGTCTCTTTAACAAATGGTGTTAGGAGATCTGGACAGCTACATGCAAAAACATGAAACTCGACCACCAACTCATACCATACACAAAAATAAAATCAAGATGCATAAAAGACTTAAATATAAGATGTAACACCATAAAAGTCCTATAGGACAGCACAGGCAGGAAAATCTCAGATATTCCATGTTGCAGTATTTTTACCAAAATATCCCCTAGAGCAAAGGACATAATAATAAACAAATGGGACTTCATCAAAATAAAAAGCTTCTTCACAGCTAAAGACAGTATCAGCAAAATGAAAAGAAACCAACCAAATAGGGAAATATATTTGCCAATGACACCTCGGACAAGGGTTTGAAAATATATAAAGAACTCACAGGACTCCTCACCAGGAAGACAATCCTGGAGAGCATTATGCTAAGTGAAATAAGCCAGGTGGTAAAAGACAAATACCATATGATCTCACCTATAAGCGGAACCTAATCAGCAAAGGAAGCAGGCAAGGAAAATTTGACTAGAAATATTGAAAGAAAGAAGACACCAATGGGGATGGGAGAGAGGGGGTAGAAAGGAGGGGAAGGGGAAGGGTCAGATCAAGGAACAGGTGTGAAGGATACATGGACAAAGCCAAAGTTGGGAAGGATTGAGGTGGGGAGGGAGGAGTGGGTGGGGCAGGGGAAAGTGGTGGCAGGTAAATGGAGACAGAAGTATTTGAAAAATGTAAACAAAATAATTAATTAATTAATTTTAAAAATGGCAAAGTACCAGAAGAAATACTTCTCCAAGGAGGACCTACAGAGGGCTCAAAGGCATATGAAAGGATTTTCATCACTAGCCATCAGAGAGATGCAAATTAAAACTATGATGAGATACTTGTTTACAAAAGTCAGAATGACCATCATAAACAAATCAACAAGGAACAATTGCTGAGCAGGTTGTGGAGACAATGGAAGCCTAGTAGACTGTTAGCTGGAATGCAAACTGGTGCAGCCACTGTGGAAAACAGGATGAAATTTCCTCAAAGAAGTTAGAAGTTAAAATTTAAAATAAAAAAAAAAAATTAGTCTGCCTTTTGACCCAGCTACACCACTGCTGAATTAAACCCTTAGGATCCTGAAACACCAATTTGAATGAACTTGTGCACCCCAATGTTAATAGCAGCATTATTTACAATAACCAAGTGCTAAAAACAGCCTAAGTAAATGAGTAAATGAGTGGATCAAAAACCATGGTACATTTACACAATGGAACACTATGCAACAGAAAGAAAAAAGGAACTCCTACCCTCCGAGACAGCATTGATAGAACTGGAGAGTATTATGCTAAGTGAAATAAGTCAGTTGGTGAAAGATAAACACCACATGTTCTCACCTCTAAATGGAATCTCATCAACAAAACAAACAAGCAAGCAAAATAGAACCAGAGATAAGGAAATAAAGAACAAACTGACATTTACCTGAGGGGAAGGGAGAAGGGAATAAAAGGGGAGAAAGGAGAAACGTCCAGTCAAGGAACATGTATGAAGAACCCATGGACAAGGACAATGAGGAGGATTCAATGTGGGAGAAGGGAGTGAGCAGGCAGGGAAGAGTAATGGGGGAAAAATGGGGACAAGTGTAATTGAACAACAATAAAACATTTAAGAAAAGAAACAATTTGCACACTCACAAAAAAAAAAAAAAAGAACACAGGTTGAGCCTAACTAGTTCCTATCTTTAACCAGGCACATTTGGACCAGTGTTTTTGACTTGGTACCCACACATGCATTCCTTATAAACAATCCAGACTCAAATAGAAGATCTGTATTTCATAAGCCAGGGGAAAAAAGACTAAGGAAAGAGGAAGTAATAAAGTACCCCACTAATCAAGGGATTCCATTTTATAAGACTCATCTCCCTTTACTGCAGTAAGTGGCAGGAGTATGTCCAAGATATTTTCTGACCATGAGAGGGTATCTCTTCTGCAGCACGGACAACTTAGGGGTTGTTTCCCACCAACCTCCAGCCATCAACAGTTGGTCCATATTCAGAATGTTTTTAGTTGCCTGGAGGATTACCCTGCCAAATGTAAAATACTAGAAGCTGGCATAAAAGGCATGCTGTACTAAAATATGGGAAAATGTTAGTAATGGCTAAGCTGATAAAATTTTGGAAGCTAAAAATCAAAATAATTCTTATAACTCTTTTCTGTTCTGTATTAAACCCATACCCATTCATAAAAAGAGAAGTTACTTCAGCTAAAGTCTGATGGATAATACTTGGACTTTAGGTCAATCAGCTAAACAGAGAGCAAGTGGCTTGTTCATAAAATAGACCCAGTGCCTTCTAGTTTTATTGATGCTTCCTATAGGAAATCATGGTCCTATTCAATGCACTGTATACCCCGTGCTATGAAGTGCTCGACTCTGGAAATGAAGTCACTTAGTGTAAACCATAATTCATGACTTTATTTATGTTAGTTGAAAACTATTGCAATATTGCATTTCAAGGCCTGTATGGGAATCAACATATTTCATAGTGAAAGCCTAACTAATACTCATGCTTTAAGAGTAAGATGATTTTATAATGGGAAAAATAATTTTATATTTTCTTCATGTTTCAAGACTTGCATTGATTTCCTAAATCTCAAGTGTGCATGTGCATGTGTGAATTTTATTGACTTTTAATGGGAACAGAGCAAGGTAGGAGGATAAGATCTATTATTTACCAGCATAACAAGGGGGAGGAAAATTAAAAATGTGATTAATAAAAAAGCTGAAATGAACAATATCAAAGATTATTTTGATTTCTGTGTTTCTACATAATCTGATTCTTATGTCAGGGTTATTGTTTTCTTCCCCTCCACCCTCTTATTTTTTCTCACTTCTTTAAATGGACAATTTTTGTTGTTTAAATTGAACCTTGAATTAGCAGACCTGGACAGAAAACAAAATAAGAGTATGAGTGCTAGGGTTATGGTTTTGGGTGTTTTGCTGCTAAACAGAACCAAGCACATGGAAATGGCATTGACTTTCCCTGAGCCTCAGCCTATTTGGGAATCATTCCCAGTTGTTTTATGCAATTACTTGAGAGCTTCCAAAAGGTAAGCAATTCATTTCAAGTGTGCCTTTAGGACCCTTTAACATTATAAATGATTTCATTTTGAAAAATTTCAAGTATGTGATTATTACACAGGAAAGTTGACTCCCATTTTATATTATTAGGAATAAAAGGAGTTGTGAGAGAACTATTCCCTTGATATACTCATGGACAAATGGATACTACAAAATCTACGATAGTTTACCTGAGGAAATTGATTTCTCCTTCTCCCTCATTCGGTTAACATTAATAAAAAATGAAGGCAGTGATGGGTGAATTTCAGGGCCCTGGCTTCTGAACTTCAACCTGTCATCATGGAATCTCTTATTCCATCTCTTCCTGGCTGCCTTTGTTTGGCTGTAATATGCAGTCATCAGATAACCTGCAAACAGTGAGGTCACAGGATGGCTGGCCATAACGATCCACTTAATATTCTATGCCCAGTCATGGCTGTTTAGAAATGTCCTTTCCCTATCCTTGTCAGTGGTTGCTAAGTATTGTGTATAATGATGTCTGTAGTTGAAGTTATGCAGTGCTCAAACAACTAGTCAAGAATCACAATTGTTTTCATATGCTAAGTATTTATCCAGCCTGTGTCTACATCATTAGAGAATCTAATGGTGATCTCATTTATTTTTACTGTTACTTTCTAATTGTGGTAAATTTTGTTCTCCCCTCTAACCTAACTCCATATTATTATTATGAGACAAGGTTCATATTTTCAAGGAGAAGGAGAGGGAAAAAGCTTCACACAGCACTGAGGAACCACTTCCTTGCCAAATGCCCATGAAAAAGCCTATTTTTGAAACCCAAGTACTCACAACTTAAGAGATACTGACTTTGTAGAAGCTTTGCTGGTTGGGTTGCTCCATTCTGTAAAGAAAGGGAACACACAATTACTACCCATGTTTTCTACTATCGAATAGTTATTCTGAATTGAATTGTTTTGTAAACATTCCGCCGTTACAGTCATATTTTTTTCACAGCATCATGCCATTAATAAAACATGAAAAAAGAACCACTTGGATGTATCACAATAAGAATTTTCGTTATTGTTATTTTATGTTTCACTGATATTAGGTAAAAAAGAGAAGGAGAGGGAGGAGAGAACATGAAGTTTGGACTAATGAAAAAGAAAAAAAACACCTACTTTGTAAGGCTAATCCTGGAGTCAGATGTTGAGGTTCCTATAAGGAAGAACACATAAAATGCATTAGTTAAATAAGTCAAAGGGGTAGAATGCATATATGTTATTGCTGAAGATATAACTTGAATAATGTTTGTAAATAGGAAGCCACTGTTTACAATTTCATTAATTAGGTATCTGTGTGTAGCTCTTTTAGAAGGACAAACATTTGCTAGCCAAACCTGCTGCAACATGACCGTAACTGTCATTTTCCAGAATTATGTCAGCTTGGTATCTATTTGAAAATTTGTGCAACATGGGAGCAAGTGACCTCCATGTGTAAAATTCAAGTCTATAATTTCTCATTGCACTAGGCAATAATGTTTGTAAGGAAGAAAAGGGGACTTAGCTCAAACAAAGAAATAATCATGTTTTTTTCTGTTTTAACTGTGATACATATGTAACAGATATGTCTCATTTTCATGAGAGAAGTGTTCTTAAAACTTGATTACGAATTTGGTGAAGTATAGGAAGGAATTTGAAATATGGTAGTGGAGCACATTATTTAAAAAAGATTTAAATTTGATTTGAAAATCACCCGATGCATCATTTACATATAAATCTTTCTAAGAGTGTGGCACACCTGTGTGGATCCTGACAAAACTTGCAGGCAGAAGCACTACAGTGATGTACAGGGCATGTACAGCATTGTATGCATGGAAAAGAGAATTATGAACTGCAAAGTAAACACTCCAAAACTAGAAACAATTCAAGTAAATACAAGAAACAATTACAGCAATCAGTGCTGCAAGTAATATACTCTTTAAACTTAATCTCGTCACACTATAGAGCAAAAATAGGATCACAGCATAATTTATATTTAAAAGAAGTGAACAAGAATGATAACATTGTGCTTTAATGAAAAGTGAACTTTTCAGTCTATTTAGCATAATTCTGTTGCCCAAGAGACTTATCTTCTGGTAAGATCAGCAGCACTCCAGAAGATTACCATAAAATATCCATAAGGGATGAAAAAAGCTTCTCAACTTAAGAACTGTGTTGTTGAAAAGTTTCTTTACCTTTACTGATATACAATTGACTTTTCACAAAGAACTCTTAACAAGTTTGGCCATTTGATTCCCTCCACTTGGCAAATATACGTGATGAGCAAGGTTAAACACTTTTACAGGCACAGCCACTAGGAATACTGAGACATGATAACTGACAAGAGAGGGGATCAAAGAAAATGACACAGAAAATTAATAACTAAAGAGTACAAGACTCTATGGCTATTTAATATAGAGCTAAAATTCCTACCCATCTTAATAACTCCTGAGTGCACAATTACAGCATAGCATGATATTACAGCATAGTATAACTTAGGCTCATAATAATGTTTAAGTTATCAAGAAATACTTAAGCATGTTCAGTATAATTTTTATTTTGAATAATATATTTTACTCAACCCATTTAAGCCAAAATATTATCATTTCAACATATAATCAATATAAACTTATTAAAGTGATATTTTACCTTATTTTTTTAACTCCAAATCTTTGAAATCCAATGTGTATTTGTATAAAATATGTTCAGTATAATTTTTATAAGAAGTCAGGAAAATATTAATTACCTTTCAAAATGATGTCCATTACATGATTCCTATTTAAGGATGCATTTTGGTTATCCAAGAATTTCTGCTATTCAAAACTCCTCATTTCCCAGAGTGCCAAATAAATGAGAAGTTAACCATTTATATGTTTTAACTATATCTCAATATTTCTACTTGTTATATTTTAAAGGAATTTTATTACAATTGCATAGTACAAGTTTGAGCTTGTTTACCTTTAGGAATCAAATTAAAGTTTCCAGAGTCAAATAAACCAAGTATATGATTAGAGACAGAAATATGCAGCCAGTGCTTTGTACTGGTCCTAGAAATCTGGACTGAGTTTTTAACCTTTATCCAATTACTTTAAACTGTAAACTCAAACAAAGAGTTGTGCAGGGCAGCAGGGCAGGGATGCATGAAAAAAATTGGAGGGTTATGTCATTTGCTAAATTTGAGCCATTGGTATTCTCGACACTGTTTTTAATGTTAATCTAGGTAAGACTTTTTAAAACCAAAATCCCAAACAAATGAAACATTTTTGGATATTATACAACTTACTTTACATACATATGCAATTCAAACTAGAAATAGGATGGTTGAAGAAAGCATCTTCATTGATCATGCAATAATTGTTGATGAACATAATATAAACTTTCAAAAAATGCCTTACTTGGTTCTGTGCATTTTCTCATAGACATGTCATATAGGGAATTTTTGTATAGAATATAATGAGGCAAAAATCTTTTCACAAACTAATGTGAGGTTATTTTAAATAATTAATAGCCTTGAAGATAATCCTATAATCAGAGGAACCTATAAAATCTCGATTCCAGAAGGGAGAGCTAAGATGGCAGAGGAGTGAATGAAAGTCAAGCTGACCTCCTCCCAAAACCAAACTGGAATTGCAACTAAATAATGGAGTAATCGCCTGGAAAACAATGGAAAGATAGAGGGAGAGGAGCCTTGGAGCCGTGGACAGACAGTGGATTCAACTCTCACACATCCCAATGGGTGAGAAGTGCGGTGGAGGCTCGAGAGGGTGGGCTGGGCGCCCATGGGGACTAGCACCAGAGGGACATTGAAACAGCCAGTTGGATCCCCCTGAAAAGAACAGGGTCTGAACCATAAACAGGGACCCCTAGACTATAGCAGCTGAAACCAGGGAAAACGCACAGACAAAATGCAACCCCGAAAAGCTTAGGGGTGCTCTCTGCCAGAGACAGGCGGCTGGGAAGCAAACAAACATTTAAAGGGCCAATGAAAAAATTGGCAGTGGCAGCCGCCCACCTTGATCTCGGGGTAAAGGTGGCAGCAGAGTGGGCTGGTGATTGGGAAAAGATTGGTGAGGAAAACTTTGTGAAGAGAACTGAGATGGTGGCTGGCGGAGCCCCGGTGATAAATCACTTCCCACCCTGCAGCTACCATCTCGCTCAGGCATAAGGGAATCAATTAACTTGCCTTTTGTGCGCTCCGCACATAGCTTGTGTGCATGTGAGCTGGGGGGATAAGTGCAGACAAGCTCGAAGAAATAGAGGATCCCTGGCCAAAGGGGTCACACAGCTGCATTGAGATCCTTGAGGAGAGACTAGAGACGGAGGCACTGGGGAAAGAACAGGAGGAGGAAACGCGAGTCCCGACTCCCTCTGCATTCGGTAGTCTCCATTTTGGTGCTGGAGGAAGCGCCCCCAAAGAGGCAGAAGCAGGGCGTGGATGAGCCAGATAGCCCGCAATTACAACGTGGTCCACAGAAATAGTGGATCACTGGCCAAAGGGGTCACAGAACTTCCCAGAGACCCCTGAGGAGAGACCGGAGACAGAGGTGTTGGGGAAAGAATGGGAGGAGGAACCGCGGAGTCCAGACTCTTTCACCTTTCCATAGTCTCCACGGCGTGGGAGCAAACCACACCCCGAAAGACCCAAAAGCTAAAAAGCACACAATAGACAGCCGAAAACCACCCAGTGCAGGAGCGCACACTTGCATCAAGTGGCTGGCGAGGGTTGGAGAGTGTGTGTGAGGACCCATGCGGGCTTAGGAGGACTACCACAGTTTGGCACCCACGGGGCCTGCGAGGGAGTGCACAGATCATCAGGGGACGGTGTAAACCAACCCGCGGGGGCCTCCAAGTGCAGAGTGATCCACAGAAATAGTGAATTCCAGGCTGAAGGGGTCACAGATCTGCCCAAAGCAGGAGTCAGACACAGACAGTAGACTCCGGGAAGACTCAAACAAACGACCCAAGGTCAGATAGGGTCAACAACTGACATCATCAGAGACAGGCCCAGAAAGAAAATTAAAGGAAACAAATAGATAAATAAATAAAAAGACCTGCCTCCTACCATAGATGTTTAATCCACAAAGTCAGGAAATCTAGACAGCCCACTTGAGGCAGAAGCATAAATAAATAAATAAATAAATAAATAAATAAATAAATAAATAAATAACTTAACAAATTCTCACAAAAATGAGAAGAAAAAGAAGTTCCCCACAAATGAGTGGAAAAAGGGAATCCCCACAGAGAGAGCTAAATAAAATAGAGGCATGGGAACTATCAGATATTGAATTCAAAACAATGGTTCTAAGTAAGCACAATGAGCTCAGCGAGCTAAAAGACAACTTTGAGAAAGTGCAGATAAACTACCAGGATCTTACAGCAAACTATATCAACCTGGAAAAGGACATAGAAACTATCAAGAAGACACAAGAGGATATGAAGAATACCATTTCTGAATTGAAGAACACAGTAGAAGGAATCCAAAGAGGCTGGATGAAGCCGAGGATTGAATCACTGACATGGAGGATAAGGTAGAGAAAAGCTCCCAGAAAGAACAAAAAATGGAAAAAAAAAACTCAAAAAGAATGAAGAGCCATTTAGGGAAATGTAGGTCAACCTGAAATGTAATAATATTCGTATAATGGGGATACCAGAAGGAGAAGTAGAGGAGCAAGGGATAGAGAATCTCTTGGAAAAAGTAAGGATGGAAAATTTCCCCAATTTGAGAAGAGAAAAGCTGTCATGGATCCAGGAGGCACAGAGGGCCCCACTCAAGAGGGACCCAAGGAGACCCACTCCAAGACTCATCATCATTAAAATGGCAACTATCAAAGACAAACAGAGAATCCTCAAGGCAGCAAGGGAGAATGAGAAAGTAACATACAAGGGGGCCCTGATACGGCTAGGAGCTGACTTCTCAACAGGAACACGACAAGCCAGAAGGGAATGGCAACAAATATTCCAAGTAAGGAAAAGCAAGGGCCTACAGCCAAGGCTGCTCTACCCAGTAAGGCTCTCAATTAAAATAGATGGGGAAAATAGAAGTTTCCCAGACAAAAGAAGGCTAAAAGAATACATCTCTACCAAGTCAGCACTACAAGATATGCTAAAGGGACTAGTTTAAGAAGATGAAGGAAAAGAGTGAGAAAGAGAAAAACACAGGTACAAAGAGAAAAAATC